AAATCGTCTCTAAACACTTCAGCGAATTGTATTTTGTTATTCTCATTAAAATAAACTTTAAACATAAAACATAATATATATTTCCTGGATTTTTTTATATAAAATTATTGTATTTTAAGAAAATTGTTTATTGGTACCATTGTGAATAATTATTCCTCGAAAAAATGCGAAAAAAAAATTATATACAAAATTAATAGTTTGTAACAATTAATCATTAATTACTGCAAAATGGACCGTGCGTTGTTATTATTTTCATGCGCTACCCCAGATTAAAAAAAAACGTTAAAATTGGTCCGCAATTACCGGAGAAATCGCAAAATTTTCGGGCAGTTCAGATTTGAAGTCTCGGAACGTTTCTGTCTTATTTTTTCCCCCACCACATTCCAGGTGTAAAAATTTATTCGAGGATGTTTTTTAAAGGGTTAAAAATTAATATAAAATGCATTTTTTCGATATCTTTAACCGTTATTATGAAGTTTAAGGGTTGATTGATTTATTTCCGAAATTTCAAGTCTTAATGTTTATAAATAAACAAGTTATGAATTTAAAAAAAAACGCTATCTCGGCTAAAAATGGTCCTAGAACAATTTTTTTTTAATTCGTGAAAAATTACCAGGACTACGAATATCAAGGCGGATTTAAAAATAGTCATTCTTCGCAAAGTTATTAACGAAAAACCATATAAAAAAATGACACTATTTGTTTATACGCCGTTTTGAGGAGGTTAGCGTATGAAATTACAATTTCCAATTGCATATCTTGAAAATATAAGTCAAGACGAAACAAATGAGCCCTCATAAGGCCCTTTATTATAACGCTAACAACCGCGTTTTTGCAATTGAAAAAAAAGCTATTTCTAATAAACAAATGCAAAAACTCGTAAACAAATAAATATTTTTTGACCAAATCTTCAGGGTTTCTTAAGGGTAACAAAATACAACTTTTACTGCAGTTTAGAGACGATTCTTTTCTTCTAATTATAGCAAATTCAAATTTCGCTGTTTTTTTTGCAATTATTTAAACAAATTGTTAATGGATTTTAATTTAGCGGGTCTCAAATGAAGCGTTTTTTGAAAACCTAAGTATAAACTAAAGCAAAAACTGTTGCATAGCGCTTTTTAATACAGCTAAAAAACTCTATTTTTGGTAATTTTTACATTATTTTGTTTTAAACCGATACTTTTCGGGAAATATTATTTCATTTTGCCTAAACTAACATTAAACCAAGTTTCAATCTGAAACGAATTACAATTTGATTTACATGTATTACAAATTTCATTTACTGAGCTAGTGCCTTTCCAAGGATGTATAAGCGTGAGAAAAAGGCAAAAATAAATTAGATTGTTGCCCACAGATAATTAAACTTGTCAAAGTTTTGAAAACAGCCACTAAAAATTTATCGCTGTCGTTCTATTATTATCTAATGTGAATTAAAATGCATTTTTTGTCAGTATTCTTAAAGATTTTTGCACTCATGAATATGAGTTCATTATTAAATTTTTCCAAAACTCGTATGTCTGACAATCCTTTTTATTTACAAAATAAGACCACTAGTTTCAGGATCTAAAGTTTGTACCCCATCTTTAGGGCGTCTTTTAAAAACAATTTTTTTTTTGTTGAAGTGAACATCCTTTAAAAATTCGGAATCCTTAAAAAGTGCCCTGAAGATGGTGTGCATTTTGTAGATCCTAAAACTAGTAGTCCAATTTTGTTAATAAAAAAGAATTGTGCAGATTTTTTGTTTTCTCTCGGAAAACTTAAATGGATTAGAGAATTGTTACTTCGGAAACTATAACAAAAAGTTCATTAAATTCACTTCTACGTCTGGCAAATCCGTTCCAAAAAGAACTCCTCTGACGCAACGAAAATTCCCAAAAGAACACAGTAGTCTTGCTCTTTGTACTTTACGTAACGAGCAGTGATAAACACTTCCATCAATTTGCAAAAGCGCGCAGTAATTCTCGGTACCCCTCGCGAAAACAACTGCGAAGAGCCAACTGCCAGTTCTCAAATAAAGACATGGCCTTCTACAGACGCCTTATCCGCGACAGCATGAATATGCAAGGATGGCCGCGATAAGTCTCGCAACACGTGTCGAACCGGAGCATGTGCCGGCTAACTAATAAAACAAAAGATCTCCGATGGCATCACGACAAAGAAACGCCAATTATCGACGATTACCTATCTAGCGGCCCGTGCCTCCGGACCGATCATGCCTATTTACATGCCGTGACACATTTTTCAGCCGGGTAAGGAATGTTTTCTCCGAACGCCGTTAAATGCTTCGATTGCCCGCTGAAAATTAAAGCCGTTTCGCGTAAATATCGTGTAGTATTACGGCTCGTTTGGCGTGGAAACGCAGCGTTTTAAAGATTTCCTGGAGGATGGTTAGTGGAATTGTTAGTCAGCGTCTACAGGGTGGGCCGTAAAAAGTGACAAGGAAATAAGTAGTTACTGGAAGCATTCAACTGAGACTTGTTGCACTTAATGTTTTCTGGCTCTCTTTTAGGCGCTGGTTTCGATGTCTACTCCCAGTGAAATACTTTCGAAGCTTCGAGGAGCTTGTGTAGGCTTTCTATGAGTGCATATTAATTTTGGGCAGCTTCTAGAAGCTTGCTGTATCCCTTGGCATCTTCTTCGTGAAAATATTTTTCATGTTTTTACTTATGTAAAATAGGTTTGTTGTTAAAATATGTATTTATAACAAACGGGGCATCAGGGTAGGGTAGACGTTCAATCACAGTATTTGATGGGTTCGCAGATGTCCTGTAAACTAAATAACTTATTTGAGACTTTTGTAGTAATAGAAACAGTTTAGCTCACTTGGACTTTTTTTCGCCACAGTTCTGAATCAGAACATTGTCGCTATACACTCACTCTAAAGGCACCTTTCCAAAAATTCAAAAGTTACGTAAAAATTTTAACTAGGTACTTCACTTTTACACAAATTTGTGAAAATTTTCATAAATTTTATAAACATTTACAACGGTTTTTATACACAAAAAATGTAAATTAATTGAATACATAACACATTACGTAGACTTATGTTGAATATATTGTTGTTTTATTTATACAAAAATAAATAATATACAAGTTATATAAATAAAAAATATAGCCAGTAAATAAAACTAATTACGTATTATGCAAATTATGAAAGTAGATACAACATGATGTGTATATAACTTAGTAATCAGAAAAATATACAGGATGTTCCGTTAGAAAAAACACGAATTTAGTTTATATCTCTGAAAGGTACTTTATTAATCTGCTCTCAAAAAACCATAAATTAAAAAATTAAATGACACCAGAACTTTGAACATGTTATTTACAATAACATTAATAGAAAAAAAACCAAAATGGCATTTAAGAAAATTGTTTCTACTTGGTTTAAGAATATTAAAAAATGAATGATGAAAAATGATGAAAAAACATAAAAAAAAAATTAAAAGGTAGCCAGCCAACTTATATATTTACATACAGGGTGATTCACAACTTATCCAAAGGATTTTTTTTTTACTCTATCGCCGTCACTGGTAAGTTGTTTACGCGCTCTTGTGTCATCGTATTTCTTAAGTAAGTAAGTCTTAATGCGCTTAAGACACAAAAAGTTTCTTTCTACCGAGATACTTGCAGAAACTGTTAAAACTAAACTAAAACGATTTGTATGTTTCCGAAAATGCCATTTTAAAATCCTTGTATAACATTTCTACCGTTTTTTGAACCTCTAAATTACGAAATTGTTCGTCTCTGTACAAAATATTAAGTTCATTTTTCAACCTATCTTTCAAAAACGTTTGGATACATTTGTAATAAACATTCAAACGATTTCGGAAAATTTGTTTGCATATTCGGGAAATTTTGGTAATCTACTAAAGCAAGAAAATTTAATTCATGTAAATTCCCAAAACGAGTACCTAATTGAAAAGAAATGCAATATACAATTTCGTAGTACAGTATTTTATAGCTCGAAAAGATTTCTAGTTCATTGCAACTTTTGCCTCGTTTACTTGGTAGTCCAGTAATATTTTTCGCATAATTAAAAATATTTTTTAATTTTTCTTCGTTCCATATAGCCATTGATAACAATTATCATACCAAGAAGATTGAAATTTTCCCGACCTCTTCTCTTTTCGTAAAAAATTGCCGTTATTTTTTACGTTGGCCGACTATTTAAAATTTGTTGTTTTTCTACTTCATTACGTCTTGAAAAAGGCGTTTCAAGTAGAGAAAAAACAATATCCTGAGTGGGATTAGTTATTACTAGGGCTGTCAGAAATGAGCCGCGCGACATAGGCGTACGCATTATTTATTAAAAAGCAACAAATTAAATTGCTACAATGCACCACCATAAACATCAACGGATAGGAATTAATTACGCAACATCCGCACGATAACAAAGGCAACAGTATACTAACGTGACGTGAACGTAAAAAGCATTCTGAAGCAACGGTTCACGCATGTCTCGGTTGACCCGCTTGGCACGCCATTGAATTGCGGCTCTCTCTGACAGCTTTAATTGAGTTGAGTATTTTTTGTGATTCGCTCGTGATCTCATAAGACACTTGATCTCGGCCAGCTAGATCTCGGAAAGCTGTCCAGTTGAGCTTTGAGATGTTTGGCTCGATTTTTGCACCAAAGTCCTTGATTTTGTAATTTTAACTAGTATGTAACAATGTCTCAATATGACAAAGTCATAATTGCCCTTTTTCTCGAACATCATCCGTACTAAAGCGTTAAGTAAACCTCGCCGCCAATCTAACAACTCGCTTAATTTGTTTAATTATTTACCCACCGCCCATGATAACTTTTCAGGCAACTCAATCCCAAGTTCCAAGAAACCGCTACTCGACGTTCTAGGGTTTCCCAAAACAACACACAGTCGCGCATTTTCATGTTACGCCCCGTAATTGGTTTACACAGTAAAATATTATCGAACGCGTTATTCTATTGTCTTTTCTGCCTCGTAATTCCAACGCTGACTCGATCTTTGTTTGTTGCAGAATCAAACGTTCGTTGGAGGATACAGAATTAAAGAGGTAAGTCACTGTTTATTTCCGCTGATCATAGGAGAGAAGATACAGCTTCCACACCGCGATATCTCTTCTACTTTCGACGCCCACGTCAATGATAAATGCATATCTGCCAAGGTTAGAACCTCAACCTGCCGCATGGCATTGAATTTAATAATTGCCGCAGCCTTACGTCCTGCAGACGGTTTAAAAAAATCCAGGCGTGTTTATATGAACAATGCACCAACAATTTTTTACGGTGGACGTAGGTACCGACTTGATTGTGTACTGTTCGGATGGTCAGTGCGCTGACTCATCATCGAATCATCATGGGTCACTTGATCCAATTTGGAATGACGTAGAAAACAACAACAAAACTTAGAAGTGTTCAAACGAAGTAGGCGATTTGAATTCTAAACAGTATTTGTTTCAGTTTAAGTGGCTACAGATCGTGCTGTTTCTAGGAAATGTCAATTATAAAGCGATATATACAGGGGGAACCAGAGCTGATAGTTTTTCGACTATACAGGGTGTAACTAAATAAGTGTAAAACATTTAAGGGGGTGATTCCTCATCGAAAAAAAGATAGGATCTTTCATATAAAGAAACTTCATTGGAGCATCCCTTGTTAAGATACAGCCCCTTAAAGGGGGTACATAAAATTTGTTTAACAATTTTTTTCACAAGCACTAAACAAGTTACAATATTGAAATTAACCTGACATTTTCTACTACCAAAAAGACACTTAGCCAGTAATTTATTTGGTTTACCCCATGGTAGTAAGGGGTGGAAAACGCAACCCCTAAAATTTATTTCCAACGTAATTTTTTGTCTTATTATTTTTTTACCATTTAAAAAATTATTTCCGATAGCCTGTTTCATTCTAAAAAAAAATGTCTCTTGAATTTTTTGCCCAAATTAAACCAGTTCGCAGTAAAAAATTATTTTACGAACAACTACAGAGATACATCGTCATAAATGCGGACTGGATTTACTGTTATTTTGTAGTTACTACCTGCATTAAATGATTAAAGGGGAATAATCAAAACTAATTTAATAATAACAAAACATACAACATGTAGAAATCATAGTAAATGTTCAATATGTCTACCTTCAGACATTACGCATGCGTCTAGACGTCGGCGCATTGAGCCACGTATTCGCTCAAATATTCCTGGAGTCTCTCTAATTACCCTGCACGCATCGATAATGCGGTTTCTTAAGTCCTCTACATCGCGAACAGGAGTACGATAAACCAAATGCTGCAAATGGCCCCAAGTAGACAAATCCAGAGGATTGAGATCCGGGGATCGAGCGGGCCAATTCTGTGGTCCTCCTCGACCTATCCACTGATTTGCATATGTTTCAGTTAAATGCTGACGTGCTACTTGACTAAAATGGGCGGGAGCCCCATCATGCATAAAAACCATATCCCTTCTGACGCCCAAAGGAACTTCCTCCAGCAGTACGGGGGGATGCACTTTTCTTAAAAATTGAACGTATGCCTCACCATTTAATCGAGGAGGTAGAAAATGAGGCCCAATTAAATAATCCCCAATAACTCCGACCCACACCTTAAGAGAAAACTGTTCTTGATGGTTAGTTTCGACAATAGCGTGATGGTTTTCATCAGCCCATATGTGGTAATTATGAAAATTAATAATCTTGTCCCGAGAAAAACTACATTCGTCTGTGAATTCGATCGTCTTCAGAAAGTCACGATTTCTTCTAATCATTTCCAGCATCCAATTGCAAAATTCAAGACGGTTCGGAAAGTCTCGCGGTAACAGTGCCTGTACTCGTTGCAGATGGTAAGGGTATAAGAGATGTTCCTTTAAAATTCGAAATACCGTCATATGATCAACATTTAGCTGGAAAGCAATCTTTCTAGTACTGGTAGTAGGTTGTTCTTCTATCAAATTAAGTACTGCTGCCTCAAGCTGTGGTGTTCTTACTTCTCGATGGCGACCACAATCCTGCGTTCTTTTGTTGAATGAACCATATTCACGTAATCGTTGATGAAGTCAGACAAATATTCTATGTGAAGGATGCTGCCGTTGAGGATACATTTCAGCATATCTTGTAGAAGCTTCTAACCCATTCCCCTGCGACAGACCGTAAACGTAATGCATATCAGCCATTTCCTCATTTGTGTATGCCATTTTAATAACAAGTGAATTATTAAAGTAACAAATTAAGAACAGAACAATACACAATTAGTATTACTTCAATTTCAAAAATTTACAAACTGACAGCTTGATTCCAATTTAATTGTCAGTATCGCTAATGGCGGCCTACTAGATAAATTAGTTTCGTATTTTCGTTTTATGGCGATATGTATCTTGTTCGTAAAATAATTTTTTGCTGCGAACTGGTTTAATTTGGGCAAAAAATTCAAGAGACATTTTTTTTTAGAATGAAACAGGCTATCGGAAATAAATTTTTAAATGGTAAAAAAATAATAAGACAAAAAATTACGTTGGAAATAAATTTTAGGGGTTGCGTTTTCCACCCCTTACAACCATGGGGTAAACCAAATAAATTACTGGCTAAGTGTCTTTTTGGTAGTAGAAAATGTCAGGTTAATTTCAATATTGTAACTTGTTTAGTGCTTGTGAAAAAAATTGTTAAACAAATTTTATGTACCCCCTTTAAGGGGCTGTATCTTAACAAGGGATGCTCCAATGAAGTTTCTTTATATGAACGATCCTATCTTTTTTTCGATGAGGAATCACCCCCTTAAATGTTTTACACTTATTTAGTTACACCCTGTATAGGAAAGCCCTGTACACAGGATAATCATTTCAATAGTGTGTCTAAAGCTTTGTATAGAAATAATAATTGAATTAAGTTTTTTAAATCATTATTTGAGAATAACTTTAGAAGCTGTGGTATCTCGTGATCTCACACTGAACCGAAACTAGATTGCAAATCTGTGATGCAAAAAAGTTATTGCTTCAATTTTTTTTTTAAATCAACGAATATCTCGAAAACCTTGCCTAAGATCCATTAGACTTCAATTATTGTATAAAAAACAGGGTGATTCACAAATGGTGACCAAAAATCCTCGTATTCTTTGGTGAATTTTAAGATATTCGAATATAATGCTTTTTAAAATTACATAGTGGGCTGCGATAGTAACTTTGACATTCTGAGCAGTTAGAAGAAATGATAAATAATACTTTTCATCGGATTCAAGCAACAATAAATTTCCAACAAATTACATTTTTCTTTATTAAAAAAATGTGTTCGTGGAAATGGAGGTATTTTTGAGCATTTACTCAAATAAAATCATTAAAATGTTGGGGAAAAGTAATATACAATTTTGCTCATTGTTTTCGAGATACAGGGTGTTGAAATTGAAAAAATAAATAACATTTTCTTTAATATCTTTCGATTACTTCGAGCTAATTTTGTGAAATTTCGTATCCGGCTTTTTTTTGGATGAAGAATCCGAATTTATCGACGATTTCGTTGTATCTTTTAGAGGGCGCCACAAGCGTTCATTAGGACGCATTTAAACTACCACATCTTTTTTGTGCTACGGTGTATTTTACTTTGGGCTGGAAAAATATTTTCCAACAATTTTTTTGCTTAAAAAAAGTTTTCCTTAGCTAACATCTGTAAAGCCAATCGTTTTCAATAAAAAGGCAATTAAATTTGTAAGTGCATAAAAAAAATAGTTTAAAAGTTATTTTCAACACTGATAAACGAAATTAGAAGCAATCGTTTATTAGCGAGAAATATGTCTTCTAAGGAAACAATACAATTACAATTTTAAATTTCATTTATTTAACAATTTTGCTGCAAACAGAATTGACAGAGTAAAAAACATACTTTCTAAAAACAATCTAATCAATCTAACACAATCTAAACAATGTAACCAATCTAAACTACTTAAAAATCTAAAAAATAATTATTTTTGACCTGTCTTAGAAGACATGTTTTTCAATGTTTATCAGTGGAGTTGAAAATAACATTTAAACAAACTTTTTTCGTCGTAGAATCTAGTAGTAAAGTTTGATCCATTCTTTAGCGGACGCTATGTATAGTATTGGCAAAGCTCAAAAGCTTTTGTATATTTTAAATTAGAATAAGGCCCTTACCAAGTCAAAATTGAAATAAAAATTATGTACTTATTGTTAGTAGTTTATTCTTTCAATATCAAAATTTCAAACACTTGAGGTCAGAATTTCGAAATTTCAGTATCGTAATGAGACAAATTTTGCTCCTTCGAAAAGCTCACCCTGTACATTTCTTCTACTATTTCGAATAGCATATTGAAAGTACTTCCAATCAATTTTATACACACTTTTCGCTTTTGAATTAATAATGAAAATGTAGCAACACATTTTCTATCGGCTTTTCAATAATATTCTAAAAAGAGAAACATAATTTCATTATTTAAAAAATCGAGAAAAATGTTACCGAAAAGTTAAATGTATGGTTTTTGTTACTGATTTATTTAATTTAAATATGCTATATGAAAAGGCAGAAAAATATACAGGAGTAACTTTTTCGATGTGACATGAAAACAGTGTATTTGTTAAATTTTGGGAATTTAAATGATGATGTGCAGTAAAAACACGTAATAAAAAACGGATATACGAAAATATTAACTTTAACATTTCTGATTGTTAAAATAAGTTGATTAAAAAGTGTGAGAACAGAATTTCATTGCTAGGTCAAAAGAAAAATGTGACTAAAAAATTTAATTCGTGATTTCGTGATTTTTCTCATTGGTTCATGTGCTTTCAATATGTTACACTAAATAGTAGAAAAAATATACAGGGGCACTTTTCGAAAGAGCCACAAAAAATAGGAATATTTTCAGTACGGTCCTGGCATTTGAAATTACATGTTCAGGAGTATGTTGGTCTTCAGTTAATTCTCACAAACTAGTACATCTACACACGTAGCTGTCATACTACTATGATATTCTTTTAATTAATTTTTTTCTCTGTAAATAATTCGCGCACGCCACTGTACCCATTCTTAACGATGTCATGGCGAATATCCTGCGGAAC